AGGAGGCCCCAGGCTCATGCGCAGAGACGCGCTCGTACTACTGAGGCTCATTCACACTCCAATTCGTTCGCAATTAGATTCATGTCCAGACCGTCACAGCTGAAGCCCGTTTATATTCGAAAGCTCTTGCGCCGAGACATTCACGGCGGACAGGTCCATGCGAATAGATGCACATATGGGGAGCTCCACGCAATGAATAATTGCCATTCGGTTTTTGAAGGATTTTGGAATTTGCTTCTTCACGGCATTCCGACGGCTCAAAACGGCCCAAGAGGCCCCCAAGATCGCCCAAGAGGCACCCATTACTGCCAACGTGGCCTCCAAGACGGCCCAAGAGGCATCCAACACGCCCAGGAGGCCTCCAATACGCCCAAGATGGCCTCCAAGACGGCACCGAAGCGCCCCAAGAGGGCCCCAAGTCGGCCCAGAAAGGCCCCCAAGACGGCCCCCGACGGCGTCAGACGTGCCACGAACCACCAAGATTGCCGAAGTTGGCTCGAAGCTGGCCCAAGACTGCCCAAGAGGCCCCCCAAGAGGGCCCCCAGGAAGGCCAGAAGAGGCCCAAAACATTGATTTTCCATACGTTTTCGACAGATTTTGACATTTGCTTTTTTTCGGCATTCCGACGGCCCGATACGGCCCAAGAGCCCGCAAAGATCGCCGACAGATCGCCCAAGAGGCCTCCAAGATGGCCCCAGAACGGCCCAAGAGGGCCCCAAGACGCCCCCAAGACGGCCCAGGAGGCCTTCAAAACGCCCAAGCCTCCACGACGGCCCTGGGGCAGTCCAAGAAGGCCCCTAGTCGGCCCAGAGAGGCCACCCAAACGGCTTCCGACGGCGTCAGACGGACCAGGAGCCCACCAAGACGGCCGAACATGGCCCTAAGATGGCCCAAGATGGCCCAAGACAGCCCACGATGTCTCCAAGAGGACCTCCAGGAAGGCCCGAAAAAGGCCATCATCATTGATTTCCCATGGGTTTTTGAAGGATTGTGGCATTTGCTTCGTTTCGGCCTTCCCACGGACCGAGACGGCCCAAATGCCCCCACAGATAGCCCAGGAGCCCCCAAAGATCGCCCAAGAGGCCCAAGACACGGCCCCAAGAGGCACCCAAGACTGCCCAAGAGGCCTCCAAGACGCTCAAAATGGCCTCCAAGACGGCCCAAGAACCCTCCAAGACGTCCTCCAAGAAGGCCCGAAATGGTCAAAATGGCATCCAGGCGGCCAAGATGACCTTCAAGATGCCCACGTGTTCCCCGAAGGCATTCCAAACCGATTCGGGGAACACATGGTCCGATAGCTTGGCAGGTCTGGCCTCAACGTTCGGCCACATAGGCGCTTCCAAAAAGGCAGGGGGCGGCGGTGATTCGCCGTAGGCGTCTTCGATCCGCCGCCCCCTGTCGATTCATCGCAGGGGTGCCTGGCGTGCTGGATCCTTTCGGTTTTGGTTTTGGTTCTTTTTCCAACAAGAGCTCCCCCTGGGGCTTCGGCCCGTCCCGCCGACCACCCGGAAAGGCTCTCAAGGAGCTCAATTCCCCAATGTTTCACCCAAGACGGCTCAAGATGGCCTCCAAGATGGCCGCGTTGGCCCAAGATAGCCTCCAAAATGCCTCCAAGACGGGTAAGATGGCTCCAAGATGCCTCCAAGACGGCCCACGATGCCCTCCAAGACGGCCAAGATGGCCCCAAGATGCCTCCAAGACGGCCCAAGAGGCCTCCAAGAGGTCCTCCAGGAGAGCCCGCAGATGCCAAATTAATTGATTTTTCCGTAGGTTTTTGAAGGATTTTTGCATTCGCTTCTTCTCGGCTTTCCGACGACCCAAGACGGCCCAAGAGGCCCCCAAGATCGCCCCCCACAACGCCCAAGAGATGTCCAAGATGGCCTGATGACTTCCCAAGAGGCCCCCACGGCGGCCCCAAGAGGACACAAAGACGAGCCAAGAGGCCCCCAAGACGCCCAAGATTGCATCTAAGACGGCTCTGGAGCACCCCGAGGGCCCCAAGTCGGCCCCAGAAAGGCCCCCCAAATGGCTGCCGACGGCGTCAGACGGGCTAGGAACCCACCAAAATGGCCGAAATTGGCTCGAAGCTGGCCCAAGACGACCCAAAACGCCTCCAAGAGGGCCTCCAGGAAGACTAGGAAAACGGCAAACAACACTGATTTTCCTTAGGTTTTTGACGGATCTTGACATTTGCTCATGTTCGGCTTTCCGACGGCCCGATACGGCCCAAGAGCCCCCAAAGATCGCCCAACGATCGCCCAAGATGCTTCCAAGGTGGCCCCAAAACTGCCCAAGAGGCCCCCAAGACGGCCCCAAGGGGCCCCCAAAACGGCCCAGGAGGCTTTTAAGACGCCCCAGATCGGCTCAGAAAAGGCTCCAAACTGCTTCCGACGGCGTCGGACGGGCCAGGGGCCCACCAAGACGGCCGAATATTCCACAAAGGCAGGGGGCGGCTGTGATTCGCAGTAGGCGTCTTCGTTAATGCCAATGTCCCAATATGCGCTGATGATTCCAATCCGCCCCCGCATGATGTTCCCAGATGCGCCAAGGCAGCGCTGAAACACACCGACGCGACTCTGATACATCCCACTCTGATAGAAAAGGGGCTGGCGGCGGGGGGCAAAACCCTTGCGGATAGATGTTGCAATCTTGGTGGTGCAATTTATTTCTGTCCGCAATGAATTGTTCACTCCACTGCTCGCGCAAACATCCCACCCACCCACCCGCAACTTGGTTTGCAAAATCAACGCGGCGGCGATTGCGAGGAGTCCTTTGCATCTCTGCGGCCGCGCTAGCCCGCGCACGCTCGCGCGCACAACGGCCAGCTAGCTCGGCGCGACCGACGCGAAGGTGGTGGCGCTGACCGCTCGGCACGTCCCAGCGGGCACTTCAGTACGAGTCGGCGACTTGGGCGGGCGCGGTATCATGGCCACGTCGACAACGGTAGACACGAATATGGTAATTGCGATGATGGCGACGATGCTGACAGCGACGACGGGGCAGCTGGAAGGCGTCGATGCTGATCACGCCGACGACGATGACGGCGTCGTCGCGTCGGTGATGAAGGTTTTGGAAGGGATTCGGAATGCGCGCGCGGCAGACGCGCGATATTGGTTCGCATGGTATTCTTTAACGCGGATCGTGCCCCCCCCCCCCAGACGCGCGCAAGGGCGTTCAAACGATTTCGACATGCGCGCGCGCGAAGCCTGTTTGGTAGCATTGTCTGGACATGTTGAAAAACAGCCCATGGTTTTCTTAAGACTTAGCAGGACCGCGCGCGCATGGTTTTGGTGTGTAAATCGGTGTTGCGATCCCTTTGTTTTAGCATTTTTTTAAACATTCGATCTTGACATCCTTCCGAAGACGAAGGTTTTTGAAGGATTCCGGCATGCGCGCGCGACGACGCGCCCGTGTGCACTTCGTCTCGTAATTTTTGATAAACGAGTGTGCGCGCATAGTTTCTTGTTCAAAGGATGGCGGGGGGGGGGGGCGATAGTGGTTTGGCTGGGACAATACGAATTCGCAGTTGGGACGGACGATGGGGCAGAATCACTTGTAAATTGCAACACGAAAAATGGAATGGATAAGTCCAGGGGGGGAGGGTGGTAGAACCTATCTCTTTTTTAGAACGGAGAATGCATGCGGTGCAGTATATACTGTGCAATCTATGCGGTGCGATCTAGGTTGAACAATATAGATCGTGCGTTAATGGTTGTGCCATATATGTGATGCGTGCATGTATGCATGCATGCATGCATGTATGTATGGCTATGTATGTCTATGTTGGAGATTGGGCAGTTTATGTGGTACGATATCTGTTGGCCAATCTATGTGGTGCACCCTTTGTGGTGCAATTAATTTCTGCTCGCAGTGAGTTGCCCACTCCACTGCTCGCGCACACATCCCACCCACCCGCCCGCAACTTGGTTTGCAAAACCTATGCGGCGGCGATTGCTACGGGTGCTTGGTGTTGGCTGGTGCATCTCTGCGGCCGCGCTGGCCCGTGCATGCTCGGGCGCGCAGCGGCCAGCTAGCCCGGCGCGACCGACGCGAACGCGGTGGCGCTGACCGCTCGGCATCCTCAGGGGCCTTTCTCGGGCCGTCTTGGGGCTCTCTTTGGCGGTCTTGACGCCCACTTGGGCCGTCTTGGGGGCCTCGTGGGCCGTCTTCGGGCGGTCTTGGGGGCCTACTGGGCCGTTGTGGACGCTGTGAAGACCAAAGACACGCATATGCTAAAATGTACGTTTCCATCCAAAATTGGACGATTTTTTCCTCTTGGGGGTCCCTTTGAGGGCCTCTTGGAGCGTTTTGGGGGTCTCTTGGGCTGAAGCCATATTGGGCCCTCTTGGAGCGCCCTTGGGCCGTCTTTGGACGCTCTTGGACCTCTCCGACGACATCTTGGAGGCATCTTGGGGTGTTATTGGGGCTGTCTTGGGCCGTCTTGGGGCCTCTTAACTTAGGCGCTCTTGGGGCTGACTTGGGCCGTCTTGGGCCGAACATTGCCGAAACGGGGGGGTATTAGATCTGAGGCCCGGGCTGCCTAGTTACCCCCCCACACCCCCTTATGATTTCTCCCGACTAACGGATCACGACGCTACGCGCGCTTTCTGTCATCTGTGTCCCAATCTCACTCTCTCCTTCTCGGTATCATGCGTCCTCCCTCCCTCCGTCGCTCCACCTCCCGAGTTGCCGCGTGCCCGCGATACGGTAGTCGATCCTGTGTACGACCCGCTGCCTGCCCAGCTGCTTGATTTGACGAGAAGGGTCCTTCGGAGGGATGGTGACATGGAGGTGGGAAGGACACTGCTCTCAGAGCTCCTTGGTGCCCGTGCAGAGTCTTCAGTCTGCCTCATGTTCTGCGAGTTGCGTGCTGGCCTCTGCTGACAGGCTCACAACTTAAGCAGTGTCGAAATCCCAACAATCCGTCCCTCCCTCCCTCCCTGCTCCATCCTCCTCCACCTCCACCTTGGTCGTCGTCCTCCTCCTCCTGGGGCCCGGGCTCGTCGAGCATGTCCTCCCTCTTGATGTAATCCAACTCTGCCTTCAGGGCCGCCCTCTCCGTCTCCGCGATGCTCTGCCTGTCGTTCGCCTCCCCTCCAGCACTCGCGCTCCGAGCGGAGGCGGAGGAAGACGAGGAGGGGGCCGGGCAGGAGGCGGGCGGCGAGGAAGGGGAGGAGCAGCGCCAGGGGCGACATGGGGAGGAGCAGGAGGAGGAACATCGGACAGGAGGGCGAGGAAGGCCGCCAAACTCTCGGCGGCATCGCGGCTGGCGATGACGAGAGCACCACTCTGTGCCGGTGGACCTGGCCAGCGCTGAGCAAGACTTCTGCTCCAGGGTGGGAGCGTGGCTTCTGCAAAGCGGCGGCATGATTTCAGAGGTCGGACGAGAGCACTGATCTCTATGCTGGAAGTGGCCAGCGCTGAGGCAGGAGCGCGAATCTGGGATGTTGGGGCGGGGGGAACTGAGACGAGATCACGACACCTAAATGGCCAAATGTCCAACGCTGAGGCGGAAACGGGACCACGCTTCCTGGGCGGTTCTGCGGGGATTTGCGAATATGTTGCATGCTATTCTCGTGAGGCAAGAGCCCAATATGGGCGCCCAAGACGGGAACTAGGTGCCTCCCTTTTCCGGGATGCATCAGCGCTTAACTTCTCTGCGGAACCGTAAGCGAAACACGATTCGGACGTAGAGACGTTCTGCGGCTAGGCTAGGTGACCAAATCAGACAAAACTGCCTCGCTCCATGGAGAAATTGATAGTGGGAACACTTGTGCGTGTGCTGCCCAACTTTGCTCAATCGTTGGATACTAATCCGTCTGATGCGTCGGACAACGCTCCACAGTACGTGAGCGTCACTGTGAACTCATCATATGCAAGTCTGCGCTAACACTGCATACTGATGCTGGCCCTTCCGTAATGCGCAACTCGAAATCCACAAACCATTTACACATATCACTCGACGTGCAGACCCTGTATAGGTTCCGTCTATGCGGACACGCGCGGCTAGCTCTGAACCCCAGCCGTGGAAAGGCCTGACACGCCAGGAGAGGCCAAAAGGTGGCCCGAGATCCAGAGGAGGCGAAACCGACGCCGTCTCGCGGCCTCGAGCAGAAGCGACGCTGCCGATTGACAATCGCGCCCTCGTTCTTTTGTGTGTTTGAGTGTGTATGTATGTATGTATGCATGCATGCATGTATGTATGTATGCATGTATGTATATATGTATGTGTGTGTTTTTTTGTGTGTGTGCTTGTGTGTGAGTGTGTTGTTAGATATACATAAATTTGTGTTTCGCTCTTTTCTTACAATCGCGCCCTCGCTGTGTCTGCACTGGATCTGGCCTGCTCTCTGCCTCTGCGCGCGGGCCCCATTTTAGCTGCTACCTTTCGCTGCCAACGCCTGGCCTCTCTGCTCTCTACAGCCGGACCTGGGCCAGAAGAACATCCCTCACATGAGATCCTCCGCTGTCCAAAACACCCCAAACCATAAGATCACTCGATGGTATCCCCCCAGGATGCACAAAAATATCTAACAAGCATGAAGAACATTAGGGTACCCTCCCTGGACCGACCTCGATCTCATACCTCGGTCCGGCTGTACCTCATGGCACAGGTGTGTGCTCCCAATCCTAGCTAACATCTTGCATCAAAACACTCCGCCCGCCATCTGCCTGCAAGCACCTATTGTGGAACGCCGAGAATGTACTCGACCGAATCGTGCATCTCTCTACTGGTGTCGCGCGCCTTCCCAGACGAGAGCCGCGGGAACGACTCGCGAGTGCAAAGGAACCTCAACCGTGCAACTAGACTTCCAACATCTTGCACGATTTCTCCTGACCCTCTTCCCGTATTCGTGGCCCTTCTATCCTCCCTCCTCTTACCTGTACTCTTTTGTCTCCCCGGTTCCCAAGCCTCTTGCTGCTGTTGGGTGAGTTGCTGGTTGTAGGTGCTGGCTTGCCGCATCTCGTCCTCGGCCCTCCTCAGCTCGTACCTGTGCCGCACACAGGGGGGAATTAAGAGCATTCTTTCATATGGGTGACGCAGACGACTGGAAGTTCACCGCACAATGCCATACCCTTCGTATGGTGAGATTCAAGTGCATCAGGATGGAGACGGCGGTAGAGGTCTCCTGCAGCTGGAGACGCCCCTTCCTACCAGATCTTCCTCTATGCCTTTATGCCTCCCCCTGAACTACGCTGAAGTCGTTCCCACATCTGCGCCTCCATCCTTGTCCTGCGAATCCTCCAAAACAGATTCAAAGAGAACCCCAACACTCGGCGCCTCAACGCGCCCTTGTCCTCCTCGTTACCGTCGATACGGGTGCCGAGGTAGTCGTTCTGTGTTTGCAGAGCGTGGGCCTTCTCAGTCAGCTCTGACAAGCGCTTCTCCACCTCGGGGGCGGATGAGGTAACGAATGGATCTTCGAGGCTGATGAGAACGATGACGAGGCGGAGAGCCGGGGATCTTTCGTCCGAGGCGTTGGAGTGAGAGACCAGTGAATAAAGTGAGCTGGCATAGTTGCCAAGTGAGCATGCGCAGCTGCTGCCGCCCACGTGGCACACAGTACGATCAGGTGCATGTCCCAGCCCTGTGTGCATATCCCAGCTGGCACGCGCTCCGAGCTCTTTCCCGACTGCTGCTGCCGCTGCGGAGCAAGAAAAGGCGGAGGCCGAGGGGTGGGCCGTCCAAGCTCGAGAAAGCGTAAGCGAGGGGAGCCGAGAGGAGACTCTGCTTTCTGATTCTCTCTTTAGCGCACGAGCTCTGGGAGAGAAGGTCCCAGGCCTCACCGTGGCTGCCGCACCACCCTCGCTATGTGACGGGCGGCACGCGGGCTGGAAAGACGCCAGCCCTCGTCGGCCTGAGCCGAGGGATGGCTGATGACGAATCGTGCGATGAGGACGCCAACTGGGATGTCTGGGAGACACTGGCAGGATGATGATGATCATGATGATGATGATGATGATGATGATGATGATGATGATGATGATGATGATGATGATGATGATGATGATGATGATGATGATGATGATGGTGATGCTGATGATGCTGATGATGCTGATGATGGTGGTGATGATGCTGATGATCCCGCTCTCCCGAGGAGGGTCGCCGCTGAAACGCAGTCGCCCACCGAGCCGAAGTCCGCCGCCCCCCGAACAAAGGGGGGCCTGGGCAGGGGCGGCGCTATGCCGCACTGTCCCTGCAGCTACAATGTCACGGATGGCCGCTCTGCGGGGACCGCGAGCGTGAGCGAGCACGAAGCGGCCGCGGCGGGCCAAGCACAGCCTGGGCCCCCCCCCCCTGGAGGGATGGAGCCCCCGTTTCAACCGCCTGAGACACTCTCCGAGCCTATCCGAGGGGGGGTGTCCAAGGCACGGCTCCACGAGGCCACGGGCACGCGTCGAGAACGTGTGGGCCCCGCATCGCATGCAGAACACAGCCCCCCCTCCGCTCGGTACAACCTGTGAGACACGTCAAACCTCAGGTGCCACCAGGGGGGCAACTCTTCTAAGACGGGCGCGAACTGCCGATGAGCTCAACGGCTTACCTTGCTCGGTGCCCGGGGCTGAGGGCAGCGACGCCAGGCGGGCAAGGCCCCTGGCCGGAGACGAGGAATCGGCGGCACGCAGGAGTGACCCCAGGCTAGAGCGACCTCTGGTGCGCGGCATTCGGGGGCCAGGGGGAGGCCAAATCCAACCGCGCAGGCCGGTGCTGGGGGTACCCCTGTGGGTCCGCACCGAGGTCACTCCGGCGAAGGGTCACCCTGACGCATAGCCGAAGGACTCGCATGTGCCAGGGGCGCATCAAGAGAGCCTGGCGGAGGTGAGGCGGGCGACGCGTGAGTGGCGCCATGCGCCGTCGCCGCAGTCAGCAGGCCCAGACATCCGACATCGTGGCTTTCTCACGGCGTGTCTGCTCAGAGATCTGGACCCCTCTCCTGGGAACTGGCGCTGCATCCTGGGCCGTGTTTGGACGCTCCCGGGGGCCCTGTGATGGCCCCCTCCCAGGATGCTGACAATGACCAAGAGCCTCCCGTCGAGAACTTTCTCGAGCTGGCCGCGAAGGGGTAAGACTATTAACAACAAGTGGTGACATTAGACATACAAATCCGTCAACATAGAAACAACACCAAACATAAAAAAACACGCACCAGTTAATATAGAAACAACAACCCGTGAACATAGACATAGAAACCCGCTGATGTCAGGGCCGTCGCCCCCCCTCATTGGAGCGGGAGGGCGGAGGAGCGGAGGTTGGGCACTCGGGCTGGGGACTCACTCGCTCCACTCGTGCGTCGATGCTGCGTCGAACGTCCGTCGACTCGAATCGAAACAGAATCGAACGTGAACTGATTTGCGATTTGAGGGTTTCAATCCGCGGCCCCAGAGCTCTCGACCTCTTCCGTGGGCGTAGCTTTTCATCCCAGATTCGTTTTTGATGGTCCTGCGGCCCGATGACGGGCCCTGGGCCCCAAATGCTTGTTATTGGACGCTCCGTAGAAGAGCAACAAACAGCGTAAACAGATACCTTCGGAGGTCCGCGCAGATTTCTTGCATCGGCGTTGGATCCCCCTTCCCTGGCGCGCGGGGCGCGCCGGGGGCGGCGCCAGAGGCGCGCCAGCGGAGTCCAACGCCGATCCAAGATACCCCGCGCGAACCTGCGAGCCTTCCAAAGAAAGCCCCACAAGCTTCTCTCGATGGCCGATGCCAAGGAAAAACACCGGGATTGAACTGCTCGCGCGAACGTCTGATTGAGGGGCAACGATCGGCGACAGGGGGGGCGAGCAGAAGGGTGGGAAACATCAACCTGGAATCGGCGATACATCGCCGGTGGATCGGCGGTAGGCCTCCGATAGTGAATCCGCACGTGCCTGGGCATGTTGGGGCTATCCGACCCCTATCGGCGATCAATGAGCGATTGGGGGTCGATGCTATCCCCCCCATGCCTATCCCCCCCTTTGTCGTTGCCCCCGATCTGAGGAAGGCGTGCGGGCGGCCGTGCGGCCGGCCGGCAGGGGCCAGGCCTTCTCCTGCGCCCGGAGCGCCAGCTGGTGGGCCTCCTCGAGCATCTTGTTCTTCTTGAGGAGCAGCGCCTGCATCTGGGCGGCTCCTCGCGCCTGCGGGCGGTAGTGGGGGGAGGGACTCAAAGCCCTCCTCCTCCTCCTCCTCCTCCTCCTCCTCCTCCTCCTCCTCCTCCTCCTCCTCCCTTCTCTTCTTACCCCCACCCCTCTCGCGCCTCCCTCCCTCCTCCTCCCCTTCCCCCCTTCTCCTCTCCCTACTCCTCCTTCCCCCCTCTCCCCCTCGTCCCCCTCCTCTCCCTCCTCCTCCTCCGTCCCCCCCCCTCGTTCTCCTGCAGCTCCGCGCCCGCCGCCGATGCAGCAAGTAAGAGCGGTCAACATCGAAGCGGTAAGTCGGATCGGATCGAAACAAACGACGAATCAAGGCACATCGACACGGAATCGGAATCGAACCGAATCGGCTGCACCAGGTTGCACAACGACGACACAGGAGTAATTATCGGGCCTCGTCAGATCGTCGGAACATCGAATCCGAATCGGATCGGGCCGATATCGATATCGAATCGGATCGATATGGACCTGGGTGGTGGTGGAGGGCTCAGACCCGCCGCGGCGGCAGGTGGCGCTGAATTCCGTGGAGCTCTGGCCACCACTTGTCTTCCAGTGAATGTGTCGATCGCAAGCAGGTCTACACGAGAGAAAACAATGCGCCTCAAGGCGCATTTCGCTCTGGCCTCTTCTCTGTATTCAAGGTCTGATCCTTCCACTCCGTGAGGGGGGCCTGCTGCTGTCCACCTCGTCGTCGTCGTCGTCGTCGTCCTTGTCATGATCCGCTTTCGTCTGCGCGGTCCGACTCGCCTACGCCTCATCCTCCGCGTGCCTCCGCCTCCGCCTCCGTCTCTGCTCCCGCCTTCTACTCCGCCTCCCCTCCTCAAGCTCTTCGGCTTAGGTGGCTTCGGCAGCGCTTGAGAGGGCCTTCGACGCGGCCCACGAGCTCCCAATGACCTCCAAAATGGCCCTAAGAGTGCTGTGATACAGCCCAAGAAGGCCCTTGCACGCGAGCCCCGAGACGCCCCAAGAGGGCGCCGAGAGGTCATCAACATGGCCAGATATGGCCCACAACCCACAACCAGTTCCAAGGCGCTTCAACACGGCCCAAGAGGCTTCATACAACCGTAATGCCCCTGCGGATTTTCGATGCGCGGCGATGTCTCAATCTTCTTGGCTTGAGGTGGTTTGGGAAACGCATAAAAAGAAGGTATTGGGAGGGCCCCGAGCAAGCCCAATAACTACAAGACGGATCGGGAGGATGCCGAGACGGCGCGAAGACGGCTCTGGGGAGGCCCCCCAGATCACACCGAGAAGAACCCCAGAACCGGGGGGTCGCCTCCAGGAAGCGAGCTCCAGAAAGAGCCCTCCATCTTCCCTTTCTTCCTTTCGCTAGGCCATGGTCACGGTGACGACGGCCGGTTGAACATGGCACTAGTGAGGGCCATCACTGCCTGGACAGCCTCGTCCAGAACGATGGCCTCGGCTGTGAATGAAGAAATCGGATCGCGAAGAGCAGCTCCTTCTAATATGATCGGAGTGGTCACTATGTAGGCCCCTCCCGTTCCCTTGGTCCTTGAATGCCTCCGTCCCTCCAGCCCTTCTCGACCCTCCGCTTCCTTCCCCACTCCCCCTGATCATTCCTTGCCCTAGTCTGACCACTTGTTAGGTTGTTTCTCCCCACATAATGATACTTCCCTGAAGGTACAAACACTTGCGGACAAATGTCACTGACGCAGGCCGAGTGGAGAAACTGACCGGCAGCCACCAAGTGGGTATTTAACCTGCCCACTTGTTAGGCATACAGCTCGACGCCTGCAAGGGCCTCCAGCGGGCTCAAACTTACTAAGGGGTCGGTGGAAGTGGTAGAAGCTTACTGGGTGACGGATCGGAATGGGTGGTATAAGAAGCAACCTGACAATTATGCGCGAGACAATTTTTGTCGGGACTGCGTCCGCCCACAAGCCTTGCCATGCCCTCAACAACAAAGTGAACCCACATACCGCATGAGCCTATGAAATTGCTGGCGACAACCTGGGCATATTGCCCGAGTGCAGCGAGCACTTGGGAGCTCGACGGGCACACACACATATACATGGATATAGATCTATACACATTGGCTTCGTGGCCTGCTGTCCTTTACCAAATGAATAGTTGGAACATCTTCCTCTGATGATGCGGGATGCAACCAGTGACAATGCTAGAACACATCGCGATGAAGTGCCTCGGACTCTGCGGCTAATTTCGCATCGACCTCGAGCTGCAGTGTCTGCTGCAGCTCCGCGCTGCGCTTGTCTAACTGCGTGATCTTCTTCTGCTTTTCGATGCCATTCTGTTCCTCGGGCAAGCATATGTAGTTACATCATTGGCTAATTCATGCCATTGGTGCGGCAACACGCTTGTCAAGAGAACTGCTCATGAAGCCAGGCGGTGCTCATACACACTATGGGAGACACGCATGACAACACGAGGACGGCGATAGAACGACGTCGAACATCTCCTGCTTCTTCAAATCCATCTGGTGCTGCCGAAGCTGGTCCATCAGTGCGTAGACCTTGTCTCCTAACTGCCTGAAGTTGTCCGCGCCCTGAACGCCACAACAGGGGGACAGAAAGACGACTCCATATACTTGTTTCGACGCCTCCTTCTCCTCCCTGTCCACTTTCCTTGCCTCATTTCGGTCCCCTTCTCCTACTCCTCCCCTTCTATTGGGCTTATCCACAGCATGGCGTTGTCATGAAGAACCACGGTCTATGTTTTGATGAATACCCTGTCAGCATCGCGAGAATGCCTGGGGGCGAAGTACAATCCGACAGTCGCGGCCCCGAGAACCAGTCAGGCGACACAACATCGCGCGATGACGTGGACGTCATCTACACCCAAGGGGGGGTGGCGACACTGGAGGTAAGGACATAGGTCTTGGGGCAAAGAGCGATGACGAATTATGCAACAACAACCAAATCACGGACGAGCTGACTGCGCACCAGGACAACGGAAAAGATGGAGAGCGACCGAGGAGAAAGGCTTAGGGGGAGATGCGCTCAGGGCATAGATTACAAGAAGCGAGGCCGCGCACACAGACACACAGACACACAGACACACAGACACACAAGAAGAAGCAACGTGACGATTGCCACTAATCATTGATCATGGCATGTGTTTCACAATGCTTCAAGGGACAATCAAGCTACGGTGCGGGACGTGCATAGGACACCATCTATACTTGTATGGCACCCTGCCTCTGGACTCTCGAGCAGCCACTACGCTATCCTTGTACTCGTCTGCAAGTTCATCTTCCTCTTTCCTTTCACATCCTCGTTATCACCTTTCACCTCCACAACTGTTTCCTATTACTCCTGTCGCTCCTTGTCCGTTTTGTTCCGTGTGTCTCCCGTCTCTTTGGAAGGTGCACCGCACCTGTCATCACTGACCAACCACCTGCTCTGTGATGCAACAACGACTGTTGCAACACATCGTCGACCTCGGAAACCTTGAACCAACAAAAACCTTGCCATCTATTGGAGGCGCAACTTTTACTTCCGCTGGCTTCCGCCAGACTTCCGCCGACTTTCGCTGGCGGAGCCGCCCTCGTCTTTCCTCCGCCGGTCTTGTGCCGCCTTCCGCCGATGAAGAGATGCCAATTTCTTTGACCCATGAACACGAGGTTCTTTCTGGAGCACCTCACATGACGACGTGGATGGCCGTGCTCTCAGGTTTGGGAGTCACAACGGATGCAACAACATATCGTGCGAGGGTGATGGAAACTAGTACCGACGCAGCGCCAAACCACATGGGAAATCAAAATCGTCAATGTCTCCACCTCCCTCACCTCGGCGTCCTTGCCCTCTGCGACGGGCCCAAGACAGTATTTTCCATACACATGTTTAACGAACCCAGACGGGTAAGGGTAGGGAATGTAAGTGCGTGTTTTTGCAACACATCCGCCACCGCCCTCTCCGTTTTTCCTGACGTCCGCTCTTCCTGTCCAAAGCCGCCGCTCCTGGCCTTACGCGAGATGACACAGCGACCTTCCGCGGTGGCTTACGCGGGCCGCCAGCGCGGCACGCTGCACTGCAAACGAGGGCGCTTCCGCACGACCTTACGCGGGACTCTGACGCGCCAAAGTCGGTGAAGACAACCCCCCGTTTATCTGCGTCGCCCAGCTGTGTCCTCCCCCATGTTATTGTGGTTTCTGCACGCTCCCCCTCCCTCGTCGCCCTCCTGCTTCCCAGACAGGACGTCGCTGCCGGTGTCTCGGGCAGAGCAGTGCACTTGACGCGCCTGCTTGCTCTCTTCCTGCATGGCCGCGTTCTGCTCTTCAGCAGCCTTCAGTGCCTCCCGGAGCGCTTCGACGTTCTTCTGCAAGCTCACTTTGCGGTGCTCGACCTGGGCAAGGAGGGCTGGAAGGCCAAGGCAGGATGGAGCACGACGAGGCGATCAGAGAGTCAGGGCCTGATTTTACAAATGGATAGCTTGGTCAACTTCTGCTTCGCCAGGGTTCAGAACAAAAGCTTTCCCCAATCGCTAACAGACTTTCCATGCCTTACACTAGATCTAATCACTGCGGACCAGTTGTGCTCGTGCACTTCGAGCTGCTGCGATAATTGCCATCTCGATTTCTTGAGCTCGTAACAGTTTTTTGTCAACTACGCGCGGGATCGAACATGCAGCCCCATCCAGCCTCGTGCCTCATCGGTTCTTGGTGCGAGGGGAGTTGTCAATATTAGATCCTTCTTCTACATCGACATCGTCTTCTCAACTTACTTCCCCTCCCTCATTCTCTTCATCCTCATCCGCGCCTTTCGACCATCCCCTGCCCCTCTGCCTTCCGGTCCCCGTCCGCAGGAGACCCCCAAGAGGCCTCGAAAACGCTTCCAAAAGGCCTCCGAGAGACATTCCGAGAGACCCTGCAAGGCGCCCAACACACCTTTGACCCACGACCCAGGCACAGTGGCCCAGTGGGCCAAGCACCACTCGGACTCAACGCGTCACCTATTTTGCCACTTTCTTTGCGCGGAACTTCCCCGCCAACCTCCCTGAGAGTGACCAGTGATGTGCCGCCGGAGTCTTCGATAATATGAATACTGCGATAGGATAGGCGTACACCTAGGATTACGACTACGAACAAAAAAGAGTGCTTAGTAACAAAGTCTAGAGAGTAGTGGGGGAGGGTGCAGTAATGCATCGTAGAGTAGGGTAGGCAAGAATAGGGTAAAGTTGACGGGGCTACAATCGAGAATAGCGGAGTGGAGTAGGGTGGCCTGTATGGGGGGGGGGGGTCGAGAAGGATGAGGAGAAATATGTGAGAGCTGAAAAAAACCGCGTGCTCTAAGTGACGGATGACATGCAACATGCAGTTTCGTGCAGACAGGCCAGTGAGACGGCGCCTGGGGATTGGGCAATTGGATCGACAGAGCAACCGTTCAACCGCGAAGCATATCGGTGCGATGGAGATCAATGTACACATATACATGTATAGATATGTGTGTGTGTATATATATACATATATTCCTCTTCCTATATTTGTACAAGCCCGAGCGGGGGGAAAACCCATCCCCCCCCTCCCCCCCCAAAACCGGACTCCCGGGATCTGGGCCTTTGGGACCCTCCGGACGGGCCTCGAAGCGGCCCCCCGGGCCTCGCAGGGCGTTTTGCCAAGCCTTCCCAGCACACCTAGGGCGATCAGGGGGGTCATCGGAGACGTCCCAGAGATCCCCAAGACAGCACAAGAGCGCTCCAAGAGTGACCGACGTGACCTCAAGATTGCCCAAAAGGCCTTCAGGACGGCCCCAAAGAGGCCTCCAAGAGCACTCCCAAGAAGGCCCCAAGAGGCACAAATCTTTGATTTTCTGTTGGTTTTTGGTGAGTTTTGGGGTTCTCCTCTTTTCGGTTTCCCGACGCTCCAAGACGGCTTCTGGGCGTCCGAAGCCGTCTGGGAAGCTCCAACATCGCCCCACAACCATCCGAAAGGGCTTCCAGGCAATCCAAGAGAGCCCCAAAACGGCACAACACGGGTCCAAGATCGCCCTCAGAGAGCCCCATGGCGGCCCAAGATGGCCCCAAGACACCCTCCGAAGCATTCCAAATCGTGACCCAGTCGTTCAGGGAGACCGCGGTTGGAAGCAGGGTGGCCCGAGGAAGTCCCCAGAGGCCCCCAGAATACGCCCAGGAGGCCTCCAGAAGGCCTTAAGAAAGCCTGAAACAACTTTTGTGAGGCCCCCAGAGGCTCTCCAAGGAGGATCCTCCGCAAAAAAGAGCTGAGGAGGATGGGGAGAATGCGCAGGGTATGGTGAACATAAAAAATAAGCATCGAGGAGGGATAACGAATAACATTATTATAGCGACGATGTCGGAAAAGCCAACAAGGAGTTATCTCTAAATTGTCGGCTTGACCTTCCTGCTATTCCGCCTGCATGCCAAACTTCAAGGACCAAGGTGCATGGCGCGAAGCGCCACTGCAGTCTTGTGTATATATATATATATATATATATCAGTTGATCCGGCGTGTGAGTTTCAAAGACCCTCAGATATAGCCAGAGCCTCAGTGCTTGAGCTTCAGCTCTGCTGGGTGGGTGGGTGCCGGGGTGGCTCTGCCAGGGTAGGGGGGGTGGTTTCGAGTCAATTTTGGTGGCAAAATCGGAGCTTCAGCTCACTCCAGGTCGGCCCCTCGCCCCAGAGAGCTCGAACGCGGGCTCATAAAAAACCCAGCGGCCGCCCAGACGGCCCAAGAGGGCCCTTAGTGGCCGAAACATCGCTCCAAGACGCTCACTATGTTTCTCAGACGGCTCCAGAAGCCTCCAACGTGCCCTCCCGACACCTCCTAAGAGTTCCTAAAGGCGGAAAATCTGTCCCATTCCCTTAGGAAAAAAACGTGCATTTTTGGCATTTTCGCTTCTTCGGCCTTCGCAGTGTCCAACACGGCCCAAAAGACCCCCCAAACTGGCCCAGAGGCTCTCAAGAGAGCCCCAAGTCGGCCCAAGAAGGGCCCAAGACGGCCCGGGAGGCCCCCAAGACAGCTCAAGCGGGCCACAGGACGGGCCCAAGAAGCGTCCAAGAGGGCTCCATGACGGCCCCAGAAGGGCCCAAGACGGCCCAAGAGGCGCCCAGGAGGCACCAAAATGGCCCTAGGAGTCCCCAAGAGGCTCCAAGTGGCCCTCAAGAGGCCCTCAAAAGGCGCTCAAAAGCGCCCCCGAAGGCTTAGAAATTAACTCCTACACACCCCCAGGAGGCCTCCGATCACCCCGCGCTGGGGCGAAAGCGTCCTTCTGACAGCGGGATCGTCCCGGATCGGCGACACCGGCCGGAGGCCTCTACAATATATATATATATATATATATTATATATATATATATATATACACACGTGTGTGCATATGTATATATATATATATATATATATATATATATCCCCAAACAGTGCGTGCACTTATGGGGTTCATGCTGATTTTCTACGGAGCTGGACCTGCGGGCCACTCTGGCCGCCATATGGCCGCCGTCGCCGCCTCGCCGCCGACCGTTGCCGGCCATCGCCTGGGTCTGCGGGCCGCTCTGGCCGCCACGTGGCCACCGTCGCCGCCTCGTCGCCGCCCACCGCCACGTCGCCGCCCGCTTTGCATTGTTTCGTATTGTTTTGCGTTGATTTGCGCCCCCCGGAATTACCGGCCTCCCCCGGGACACTGCAAATTATATATGATTATGTCCACTCGTTCTTTTTAAATTTGAGTTCGTATTATCCCAAGGAATCCGCTCTTCGCCCCTTTCACCCCTGTCAATTGATACTATGCGCGCGCACTCGTTTATCAACACAACAATTTCTAATTATGCCTTGCAGGTCCACACGCGCGGGTCGTCGCGCGCGCACTTCGAACTCCTCCGAGAACCCTGAAACACATTCCCGCCACCGTGCCGCTGGACACGGAGTGGGCGTGTCCTCAAGTCCTGGCCCTAATCCTCTAAGCATTAATCCCCGCTCATTAAAAATCTTTACAGAGGCCGGACCCCAAATTGCTAGATCTACCGGGTCTTGGCGCGTCTCGTCGGGGGCTTGTCGCGTCTTCTCGCGTGATTTTTTCGGGCCCAGGCCCCAAGATGGGTCCAGATGGCTCCAAGAGGCTCCCAAGACGGCCTCAGAGGGCCCCGAATCGCCGTACGATCGGTCCAAGACGCCCAACCCAATCTGTTCCTAAGGCGGTCCAACAGGTCTCCTTGACGCCCAGAGAGGGCTCCAAGAGACCTGCCAGAGAGATCCCAAAGAGGCCGTTTTGTTTTAGGCTCGGGCAAGTTTACTTGCGTGGATGGGGAGGGGGGGGCCTGGCGAGGCCCTGAAGGAACTCTGGATTTCATGCAAGTCGAAACTCACTTGCACGCCGTTTCGGCCCAGCATTGCTTCATCAGGCGGCAGAGGGAGGGGGGGGGGCAAAATCCCATGCAAGTTAACTTGCTTGAGCTCAATGAAACAGGCGCTCAAAGAGGCACACATCATTGATGGTCCGTGGATTTTTGAAATGGAGTTCTCGCCATTTCGGCTTCCCGACGTTCCACGACGGCCCATCAAGCTCCCATGACCGCTCCAAGACGGCCCCTGCAAGGCTTCACGAGGCCCCAACACAGGCCTCCAGAGACTTCAAGGCTGCTTCTAGGAGGCAGAGCCCTCTCACGATATCCCAATGAACATCCAAGATGCCTGTTGCCCATATCCCAAGCACGGTTGTGGGGTAGGACGAAGGTCATTCTACGCATTCTATTCTCTCACAGTATGGTACTACTCTATGCAGACACGTACATACACATGTACATGTATATGAATGTGTATACGAATAGATGTATGCTTATGTACATGTACATGTGCATGTATAAGTACCTGTATATGTATGTGTCTGTGTATACGTATATGTTTGTGTATCTGTATTTGCTAATGCAAATGCATATGTGTATGGACATGTCTATGCTTCTGTCGCTGTGCACGTCCATGTATATGTACATGCATATGCAATTCTATTCGCTTCTGTGTATGTATATGTACATATATACGAATGAACGCGCTTGTGGCGCACTTCTTACTAAAAGAGGGGGCCCTTCAAACTACACCCCTCTCCCTTGGAAAAAGGGGTGGTTGCTTCCGGAACTCCCCCCGCCTCCCCCCTTTTGTGTGCATTTTTCAGCTGTGGGGCCCCTGGCAAAAGAGGGGGGTGCCCTTTTCGGAGCCCGGGGTCAGCCTGGGCTCCCCTTTCAAAGGGCGGGGGGGCTTCCGAAGCTACCCTCCCCTTCCTTTTGTTTGGACTTTGTTGCTGGGGGGGTCCTGGCAAAAGAGGGGGGGCTTGGAAGCTACTCCACCCCTTCCTCCTTTTCGGGGCCCGGGGTAAACCGGGGCTCCCCTTTCCAAGGGGG